AAAGAGATTGCAGTGTTGATTTTTAAAAGCTTAAGTTTTTTTTCAAATGAAATGTTCACTCTCCCCTTTTCTGTAATATTAACAGGATCTCATTGGACTTTTAATTTGTTTTCCTCTCTCTTCATTTAGAATCCTTTTGCTGTGTATTATTAGTGATGTTTTGGAGTTTTTTCACTAGCCGATTTATTTTGTCTAGAAATAGAGCAGGTAAACTACTTTTTGTGCTGTGGATAAGATACTGTTATCTATGTTAATCCATTTTGATTCTTCTAGTCCTTTTTTGTCCGTTTTCTGCCAAGCGATTATACACGATTGTCATGTGCTCCGATCTTGTGGCCGTAGAAATCCACTTAACTAACTTTTTAGGCACTTAGATATTCCTATTAAAATATTAATTATTAATAGTTTTACTGAACTGTTGATATGGGGTGGTCGTGGCACTGGTTGCAGTAGTGTTACACTGCTAGAGTAGTTTTTTAAACTCATTTAAAGTTTAGGGGTCGTCTGAATTATTGTGGTATATAAACTAATTTTTTGTAAGTTAGTGTTATAAATTAAATAAATTTCCTTAGCCGATTCAGATAGCAATCGTTCAATGCGATAAACTAGTAAATTTTCTGCTATTAATGGGTGACTTTTGCTATGTTGCATTCTGATTCTTTGCCTGGTTCTGATTTTGGTTTTTATGAAACCGTCTTTACCGAATTGAAGGACTAGTTTGGCTACTGTTATCTCTTGCAAAGAAAATTGTCCTCTTACTATTGTTGGTCGGCAGGCTGTTTTCAGCCCATTCTCAGTGAACAATAGTAACATTGCGAATCATCAAGCTGTAAAAAGAAATATTATAAGATAGAAAAGTGGTATATACAAATAGCTTATCGATCATGAGGGCGACCATGGTACAGATAATGGATTCAACTGCTGTGTGTTGCTTAAAGAACATGATTTGTTGTGCAAAATTGATCTTTTTTTCAAATACTGAATCGCATGCCAAAGTACTTCAATCGCGTGGAAAAAAGAAACAAAAAAAAA